TATATGTTAAACTGATTATGTCATATCCTATACTGAAGGAAACAAAATAGATTAAACTGTTCACCTTCAAGAAATTTGCAGACTATCCATTGATTTTGTGATTGTATATATGTATGTATGAATGAATGTATTAATGTAATTGACTATGTACTTTGTATACGTCAAAATAAACTTTCTGTTCTGTTCTGTTCTGTTTAATAATATGCATTAACAAAAATAATTGGTCAAGCCTGCCGCAGGCAGGCGACCAATTATTTTTGTTAATGCATATTATTAAACATTAACCTATTTAATGATCAACATTATTTTTTCCACCAAAAACAAGACATTTCTCTAAATCACGATAGCTCCGCCCTTTCGCTCTACAAGATGTCTACACCTTGTCAAGTTTCTAACATGAGCTAAATAAATGACCTTTTCAACATACAATCAGGCACAATTTGTACTGAAATGTCTCAGAATTTATACCTTTATCTACAGTATTTACATGTAGGTAAAAACAATGGAGTGAATGAAATGTGTACATCCTTTTAAAATGAATGGAAAATGTGAGAAAAATACATTAGAGATTATTAATTGATACAAATTCGTTATTAGCTTCAAGCTATTCACTAACATTTAAAATCCCAATTGATTTGCTCTTTTGAAAAACAGTTCTTTTTTTTCTGTGTGTCAATTTTGGTTTATAGGTGGATGGGGTCCATTTTCAATGAGTTTTCCAGCCTAAAAATGTAACCATTGTGGATTGTTAATGCAGTTCATTCCTATCAAGTGAAAGAAAATAATTTTTTGGTTAATATAAAGTTAAAACAATCAGCAATTAATTTATAACAGACATTTTTCTTAGAGTTAAAAGGATATAAAAAAGTTACTATGTAATCATTTGTCTCTGCCTGCCCCACATGTATTATCTATGTAATAAATCAATTGATTGTATCCTCACATTTAGAAAGCCTAATTATTTTTACGTTGGCATTGTTTTGCTAACCTTTATATTTTAAAATTCAGAGTGCAAACCACACCTCTAACTCCTCCCTAATATAATGCATTACTGAAATTTGTTAGACTAGTTAGACAACAGATTAAGTAAATTTTATTAAGTTAGTACACATTAACCAAAGTTAGACTTAGCAGAAATTTGAAAAATACTACAATGTGATTGGACAAAAAATAATGTTGATCATTAACAAAAAAGGGTATATCTTCGTTTCTATGAAGTCTTTCAGATAATAATTTACGCTGAATACTTGTGGGCATCTGTTTTAGGTTAGAATGCACATAACGTCACCAGAATCGACGTTTTCAATGTTAAATTAGGTCCAAAGAGAAGTTGTCTCCAGTTTTCCAGCTACCCCGAGTGACTGCGTCGCACGGTATTTCCATCAAATTGTCCACCAACAGGCAATATCTTTACATGTGCATACTCGGAAAACATGTCGCTAGCTAACTGCATTCCGATATTTTTACATAAATGTCTGTAATCTTCAAAAATTATGAAAAACTCACCTTGTTTATATCGTGTCACACGTCAAAGATGGGTGCTCACAACGAGGAACGGAAGTTGCTCACAACATTTTTACCGATCGATGGACATTTTTCACTCGTTGTGAGTTAAACGGGCGTGATTACGTATTATAAAGTTGACTATGTGGACGGGTCGTCTATGTTGACTATCTAATATTTGTAGTAACTTTTCACCATGGCAATAAATGACCCTCGTATTGCAATTTCCTGTGATTGATTGTAAGTCACATGTAGACATGTTTCTAATATACATGTATACATATAAATCCCCCTATAACCAATTATAATTACCAAACTTCTCCATTAAATCTTGATACAGGCAATGTTTGTATTTAGATTTAGTAACGTAAAAACTAACACACATAAAAATGATCTTCCTTTATGAAAGAAACATCAACCGTGTAATGATTGTAATTTACCCATTACAAATAAATAGTATAAATTGTACCTTCCGGTCATTTTGACCGGATACAACAGCTAAATTGTAGTTATTATGTTACCAGATTATAAATAGATTTTGCATGTATAAACTAATTAATGGAGAAAAAAACATCATTTTACGAATTTATTGATGATGAGTAATATAGATATTCTCCGAAAGTTAAAAAAAAAGTTATTTCAAGTGTATAACAACAATCATTAACATGTGCTGTAAATGTAAAACTCTCACCGTAAAAACTACCCCTACTTAATTGTACTTGACGTTAAATATACAATAGTTCATACAGTAGTTCAACAACTATAGCTGTCGCGCAGTTACAATTTCGTTGTCAATCTAAAGAGAATGATAACTATGTAAATACTGTGACAAAATATTTCGGATCGAGAATGTATTCTGTAAGTTGTTATAACTTTTATATTTTATAAATCTTTAACAATTATGCTTGTAAATAAACTACTAAATAATCTATCTTGTGGTGAATATATTTGCGTCAAAATGTTTGGTATTCCGGTCTACCTCGCTGAATTAATATTGTATTTTTCCTTACTTATACATCAGAAATAACAATTAGAAAAGAATATCATATCTAAGTATGATATCTATTGGCGCAATTTTGATTCAAAATAAGCATCAGATCTTTCGGTATTAGGGAAAATAACTTTACTTAATTTGATCGCGTTTTTTTTGTGTTGTTGTTGTTGTTTTGCATATATTATGTACAGGAAGCTAAAATGAAAGACGTGTGGTAGAAACATGCAAAAGTTAGTAAGAAAAATCTTGATTTGTTTCGGCGTCATGACTGAATTAATTGATACCCTCTGGCCAAACTTGTATTACAAACTATCGCCACTTTTTTAAAACCATTGTGACAGATATATGCTTATACATGCGTATATAGTCTCTATTAAAGGCCCATTATGCCTCAGAGATGCTTTCATTTTTATTTCTGAAAAACTTTATTTTTGCTATCTTTTTACAGTTTCTAAAAACACACTAATTTTCCATATACATAAACTATCTTTTGCTGCTTTTTTACTACTTTGTTTACATTTTGCTACTTTCTTGACACGTTACTGCATGTTCAGTGCTACTTTCTTCAATTCTTACACCTCTTACATGTTCTAAATCCATTATAAAATCATTTTTAGAACACAAATTCAACATTTCTAAAGAATTAACAATGGCATGATGTGCCTTTAAACTAACTTGTTCAGTTCATACAAAAGCATGTTAGATATACGAACCCGGGTTTGTGGGATTTCATACTCTATTGAGAGACATTATCCTTGTAAAATGATTATGAATTATACGTTTATGTTATTATTTACTGACGATTGAAGAAATTGTACAAGAATTTACAAGATGTCTACCAATCCTTTTAAAATATGAAACTAAACAAAATGAGCTTATGATCGTACACTCTTTGTGTCTTTGAAAACTGCAAACGAACAATTAGAAGGAATCGAATACACTTGCATAAATTCATTGAATTTTTCATTGTACGTGATCATAGCATAATGAACAGTTTACTATCAATACAATAAATGTAGAAAGGCTTTACAAGTATTATTTACGAAATAAATATATAATACATGTATTTGTCAATCGTTTCGGATTATTCATCATTTCAATTACGTCTTATTTTGAATGTAAACTCTAAAATGGTGTTACATTCCTAAAAATTAAATAGAAAATATAAATCTTCGTGTACAAAGATAAGAACGTCTTAAGTTTTCAGATTTTCACTGTCAAAACTTAAATGATTTTGATCTGACTATTTTGCTTCACATGTAAACCATATATTCGTGCCATTATATATAATGTTTTACGCTCAGTGGTAAGACGGCCCACTATATAGACCCGTCCACGGCCCGAGAGAAACCGTGTCTGTCCGTTGAATACTTGATCTACTAGCTTCTACAAGTAAACAATCAACTCATTATATCTTAAACACGTTCGTTTAACAACCTTAAAACTGTCGTGATAATTAAAATAATGCTACTATAGTTGAGTTTTGAGAAACGGACGACATATCTGGACATAACTTATCGGTTGTTATATATAGATATTCATACATATTTCACATTGTATAACAGTGGATCATTAAAAACTTCCTTTAATGAAAAAGTAATTAGGATCTATTTAAATTTATAATTGTATTTTTTAAACTATTAGGTCGTTCGACCTTAATTCTTCACCGACATTTATTTCATCAAAACCAGTATTGTTCAGGTTTATCTTAAGCAACATCTACTTCAGAAAAGTGGAGTCTTACTCTAACTTACAATAAACAAACAACAATGTTGTGCATTGTAGCGAGGTTATTTTATTACGAGATCGTTATAACAGGAGGAAATATCACAATGAGACATACATATGTATAAAGCATATCACGATCAAAACTGTTGTACTATGTCCAAGACATTTCATGATAAAATGTAAATTAAACAAAACTTAACAGGTTCGATCGTATATTCGTCACAGGAATACTGGCCGCCTGCGTAAAACCCCTTTTTATCTTTTTTAAATGTAAGAGGAACCGTAGAATCCGTGGGCATGCACGGAGGAAACACAAAAGTGATCCTCCTCAGACTATTCCTCGGAATATTGAACAACGGACCGTGCTCAGACATGCTAACGTACATATTGAATATATACATATCAATATATTTTCCTTAATCAAAATACATGTTCAGTTCCACATATACAAACTTGAAATAAACCAATACATTCAATAAATTTTTTCACTAACATTGTAATTTTTCCCTTATAAAACAGTTTGCTTAATTATGGCTTTAACATAATCTTATAACATAATAAATATTGAATTTGAATGCTGGTGATCTCGTAAGAGAAATATCGCTAGAACTGATTTTCATACTCTGCCGCGGGTATTTATACCCGTGTATAAAATACACATGTATGCTTGAATACATTCAAAACCGGTTTATGTAATCCGTTACAGTTAGACAATGGTTCTCCTCTATACGATGTAACGCGGAGAACCAGTAATACTTGTGTATCCAGAAATTAACGGTCAACTATTCGCTCACCTTTACATTAATGTGATTCTCAGTGAAGCGTATAACACACTGTTCGGCGCGGTATGATCTCGCACTTTAAAGTTTGAATAACTTCAGTGAATACATTGTATCGGGGAGATACTATTACTTGATTACAGTAAATGAATATCAAACACAAATACAAGGTAAGGGAGCATTCTTAACACTAAATTGTTAAAAAAAATAATGATAGAAATATAAACAGATAAATGAAAATAGTTATGTATTATTTTTTTGTAAATAACTGAATAAGTAGTCACATATCGTGCCGTGCATGTATACCATAGGTCAAGTCGGAAATGTAATCAAAAGTTCTATATATGTAACAAATTTCAAACTATATTAACTATTAATAAATGCATAATATTTTTTAACTGGAATGCATTAATTGGTTATGCAAACTTAATTAATTCATTTCAAAGAAACCACAAAATAATAATGAAATAGAAAATTAATAAATATAAGTGAACAGTGTATATTTGTATACAATTTTGCTTATTAACTCACGAATAAACGAGCCTTATTTATCATTTAATCAAAAATAAAACCTTAACTTTTAAATACATAAAATCTCATATTATATTGCCTTTTACACAGTGTAATTGAAATGTACATGTTATTCTATATTGTTTTGTTGAATTGTTAATTTTCACATTATTTAGATAGAGCACATAGATTTAAATTGTTCTATGAAACGCAATAAAGCTCTTTGTATCTTCACACTAAACATTTTAAACAATGTTTTTAGAGAGAGAAAATTTATCACGTTAAAGTAATCACCCCAAAACACGGCAATTTCATTGATTCTGCTGGATTGTTTAATTTACGAATCAAATGTCGTTAAACATTTATAACCGAGCCGTCTTTGGGTAATAAATCTGTATTAAGTGTGATCAAAGAAACAATCATCACCGAAAATAATGCAAAAAACTTTTTCTTGCATCGACACACGTATGAGTGAGGCTTTAATATACTCTTGAACATGTACACATAAATTGAGCCGTGTCATGACAAAACAAACATAATGGGTTTGCGACCAGCATAGATCCAGACCAGCCTGCGCATCCGCGCAGTCTGATCAGGATCCATGCTGTTCGCTATCAGTTTCTCTACTTGTTATAGGGTTTGTTAGCGAAAAGCATGGATCCTGATCAGACTGCGCGGATGCGCAGGCTGGTCTGGATCCATGCTGGTCGCAAATCCATTATGTTGGTTTTGTCGTGACACGGCTCACATATACTTCATACTTTTAATTTGCCAAATCTTAAACGAATGACGCCCTATTTTGACAAGTGTAACGTTTTAACTGACGCCTGAAGCATCTTCTCTATAGTTTTAGCGAGATATAAAGATATTACTTCCTCATCATTAAAACGAACTTTTCCCCTTAAGGCTTTTCCCTCTGTTTCCTCAAAAAACAACAACAACAACAAAACAATTGTTGCTACACCAACTCCATACTGGATGTGGATATTTTATGGTTTATGTGTGCCCAAACTTATTCATGGGTATGTGTTTTTTTCCCCTTAAACTGTAGGGAATATTTAATTAAGGTAGCTCGCTACTTTGCATACCAGAAAACCATCAAAATCTGAGATGTCGTAAACTTAAGCAAGATAACTTTACTTTTCAACGTTGTTGTTGTTGTTGTTGATTTAAATCATTTAGATTCTCACTTTTAAAGTTGCATGCCTCCGAGATTAGCCAAAATATTTCAAGACAATTGTAATAAGATTTTTGGAAAGTAAAAAGATTCAAGATTCAAACATTATTTTCCATGTTATGTGTGATGGATGACTGATCTTGCAGTATTTATCACCATATTGTTCTGCGTGGCTAACGCAGTAAGGGCTATTTTTTTGCATATTATGATAATTTTTAGTAATTAATGTAGATTGTAAGTGCCGTTTACATGTGTAAATTACTTTCTTTGTTCACTTCACACTATTTTACTATTTAATACATTTTCAAAAAATTTTTTTATGAAAATTGGCATGAATCTGGGGGCATGTTGCTTGAAAAACAAATATAAGAATGGTAATCTCGGACATATTGAGGTGAAAGATTCTGATGTAAAATTTAAAAATATAAAATCGTGAGGTAATGAAACTTTTATTTTAACAATGGCCGTGTGAATCACCATATATGTTGTATAGGTCAGTGTTCATTAGTAAGCATTTTCAAAATTAAATTGATCAAGAACGACGGAATACTGCAATCCTATTGGACAAAACAATAATTCTAACACTAACATATCTTAAACGTTATACAATTCCTTAAAACATCGTAGGGGCGAAGTCGCTCTTGTAATTTTAATACTAATAAACACTAATCAGGTTAGTGTTTGAAATTACTTTCATTAACAGTCCATTAACAAGACTGATAAACTGAAGCCGACTCACTAAAGTAAATGTATTTACGAGTCATTCGAAATAGTGCGGATAGTGCGAACATTTTTACACGGTACATACATGTGCGTTATTTTAACCATAACTGCACTAACTTCGGTATCACGAAAACTGTTACACGATACATAAATGTTTTGTATTTCAAACATTACGAAACCAGCTTCGGGTATCTCGAACACTGTTACATGATACATTCATATGAGATAATTCAACCATAACTGAACTAACTTTGGGTATCACGAACACTGTTACACGATACATACATGTATTGTATTTCAACCATAACTGAACTAACTTTGGATATCACGAACACTGTTTCATGATACATACATGTATTGTATTTCAACCATTACGGAACATGTTTCAGTTATTACGAACACTGTTGCACGATATATACATGTATTTTATCTCAACCATAACTGAACTTGCTTTGGGTATCACGAACACTGTTACACGACACTTACATGTATATTATTTCAACCATAACTGAACTAATTTCGGGTATCACGAACAGTGTTAACGCAACACAAACGCTGTTTTTAGATATTAACGACATTGTTTATATGAATTCAATGGAAATCATTATATTTAGTCGTATCATCTTGCTTAAATAGGTTTTATGATAACTTTAGAATTATTTATTTTCAGATATCAAGAAGAATGAAAGATTACTCCTCGAATAATTAAGTCTCCAAAACAAGTTTACTTTCCTGATTTTCCAGTAGAAAGAACTTGACAAATATCAGAATGAAGTTACGACGCAAACACTGTCTCAGTAAAATCGCGATAGTCATCACTTCGACTGCAATTATTTCACTTGTTCTATGGGGAAATGGGACCAGACCCGAAATCGTGACAAAAGAAGTGGGTAGTGGACCGCTAGATTTTTATTTTCCAAATCGAGTTGTTGACAATTTCTTAAATAGGACAAAAATATTAACACAAAGTGCTCAAAGGTGTCTTTCTAGTTTAAATAATATTAAAATTACTGCTAATTATACTTTGAATAATGTATTAGATAAGATAAAGATTATTTTTCAAAATGGCCACATTGACGCGGTGGATAATAGTTCTCCTAACCTGCAACATCCTCTCACACGTGAACAAACTTCAAAACTAGGGAACGAGCTTCTCGAAGTGATTGTTATCCCTCATTCCCACAACGATCCGGGCTGGAAAAAGACATATAGAAAATATTTTGATGATCAAACTACGCACATTCTTAGCAATATGGTTGACAAACTGTATGAGTATCCGGATATGACATTCATTTGGGTAGAAAGTTGCTTTTTGGATATGTGGTGGCAAAATCAAACTTCTGAAACTAAAGACAAATTTAAAAGATTAGTTCAAAGTGGACGACTTGAGATCGCTTCTGGAATGTGGGTGGCTCCTGACGAAGCCTCGCCGCATTATTTTGCTCTCCTAGATCAGATGATTGAGGGTCATTACTGGGTCAAGAAGAACCTTGGAATTGTACCAGAATCATCCTTAAATTTTGACCAGTTTGGTTACTCGTCCACTATGCCATATTTTGCTAAAAAAGCTGGTCTTAAAAATGTCCTTATCAAGCGGATACATAGGGGTCTGAAGGAGAGGTTTGGTAGACTTCAGAACCTCAATTTCAACTGGCGCCAGTTCTGGGATCCAGAAGGAAAAGATGATATATTTGGCCATGTAAGTATACTTTATATTTTTAGCTCGACTTTTCTATGAAAAGGGGAGCTATCCTACTCGCTCCGGCGTCGGCGTCGGCGTCGGCGTTGGCGTCACACCTTGGTTAAGTTTTTCGTACCACCCCACTTTATTTCAGAAGTATTACAAGTATGGCTTTGAAACTTACCATACTTGTTCACCATCATAACCTCCATCTACAGACAAGAGTACATAACTCTGTCAAGGTTTTTGACAGAATTATGGCCCTTTTTTGACTTAGAAAGTGTATTGAGCTTGGTTAAGTTTTTTGTACCACCTCACTTTATTTCAAAACCATTGGAGGTATTGCTTTGAAACTGACCATACTTGTTTACCATCACGACCTTCATCAACAGACAAGAGGACATAACTCTGTCAAGGTTTTTGACAGAATTATGCCCCTTTTTGACTTAGAAAATACATTGAATATGGGTAAAAACCACTTATTGCCTTAACCCTTTGAGATATTGCTTTGAAACTTTTAATGCTATTTCACATCATTACCCCCATCTGTACGCAAGAGAAGGTAACTCTGTCAATGATTTGTTTTAAAAATTAAGGCCTTTTATCGACTTAGAATCTTGGTTAAGTTTTTAGTACCAGTCCACTTTTTGACTGAACTGTTTGAGATATTAATTTGAAAGTTGGAATACTTGTTTACAATCATGATTCCCAAACATGTCCAGGAGAAGGTAATTCTGTCAAAGATTTTATTTGAATTATGGCCCTTAACTGTCAATGTTTTGTATTATAGGCAAGCACTAAAAAACTTAAAAAATCTAAAAAAATTCATTCCTATCCACTTGTTCACTTTACCATAAATTATGTCATATAAACATTGCTGTAATATTCAAGGGTATCAAACAACTAGTTCACTTTAAAAATACAGAGATTCTTGTATTGCCTTTTACTGCAAAAACTTTTTTTATTGGCAAGCAATAAAAAAGTCGAGCGCGCTGTCTTACGGACAGCTCTTGTTTAAAAATCAACATCAACAACAAACAGCGCGTTGCATCTTAAATACTACATATTCTTGTAAATAATCATTATTTTCTTTCACTTCTAGTAAGGTTATTAGAAAACGGAATATCATTAAATGTTCATATTTCCATTATTATAATGTAGAGTCATTATTCTTTAAAATTACAGTCATTACTTATAATTTAAAGTTATTAACCCCATATGCGTACAGATATCAGTTTTCATTAAATATTGTCATGATTCGTACATCAACTTATATCAAGGGGCAGGACGTGAAGTGGTTGCACACTTGGTTCAAGCGAGCGAATTGGTTGCAAACTTGACAAAATGGCGAAAACGGCGTGATTTTTTGAAACGGGTGAACGAATTTTTGCCAGGCAAGTGGGTTTCTTTGTTATTTTGAAGTTCATTAGTATGTCTATTCCATAATGCAATATATATGCCACACTCGGTTAAAGGTTTCAGCATCCTAGATTCTGTTTTGGCGAAGTTATTGAAGATATAAACTGATCATGTAGATATTTTGAAATTTGACATATGACTGTTCTGGCCGGTTTTTCTCCTAATTTATTCGAATTTGTAAGTTTTGAACTGCATTTAACAATAACAAAATATGTTTCTGTCAATGCTGTACAAACGGTTTAGTTCGCAAGTCCGAAGATAACGTTCAATACACAAAAATATCTTGTTCAAGCACATTTTGGTTGCAGACTTATACTTCACGCATTTTTGGTTGCAAACTTATTCTTATTCTATTGAAATCCATAGTAAAACTTTGCAAAAGGAGTGTAGAAGGTTATATCTATAAACCTATTTTCAATGGCAATTATTGCCATTTATGTTCTGTTACTTCTTTTTGTTATAAATGTTATTTAAACTTTCTTCTTTTACAACAATTATGCACTTTATGTTTCAAATTACATGGTTCTCTGTTCAATACTATAATCATCAGTAAAAGCCGGCAAACAAAATAATAGCATATAGAAAAATATTTATTGATGAAAAATATTTATTGATACTTCAATTCTAAAATATGTCATCATATGTAAAATGCAAATGAAAACTACATACAAAACAAACGTATGTGAGAGTACTGTTGTATTTAAGTGAATTATTTTCATCATATACATTAGGACATGTGCACACATACGATGTTATTCGGCAAAATTTCCAAAGTTTATCAAAACCACAAGAAATGTTAATTTGTTTCGTATGTAATATTCAGCAGTTGCTTTAGACATAAAGTTGTAAATGTACTTAAAATATTTTTACAAACCAAAAGTTAAAATGACGTACATGCTTGTTTACAATATTTCGGATTTGATGTACATCATGTGTCAATTGGTATTCTAAAGATGATTTTGATTATTAGATCATAATATAAATATAACTGATATACGATTGGTAATTTACATTGACTGATATGTGACAAAACTACTTAAAGTCATTGTTCGAGTTAGGGAATTTGGACAATGTTTCGATTGGTCAATTATAAGGAACAATTTAAAGAAACATGTGAATAATGCCCTTGTGTCAATGTTAATATAGTTTTTATCTACTATATAATCAAATTTATTTCAAATCTCAAAAAAGAACAATAATGAAAGCTGTTTGTTGCTATTTTTTTCTTCTTTTCCTTTACAGTTAGTCATGCCAAGATATAAAAAAAGTCCTAAGACTTTGTAAAAAGAAAAGGAGTATATCGAGGAGAAAAAATGATGAAGATAAACACAACTGAACTTCAAATTAGCATATTGTGTTATATATCTATATGTAAGACCCTGTGTTATATATCTGCACGCATGCACAATTTGTATATATATTTCTTATTAGTTGAACGGGTATAATTGCCTTAATATTGCTAATTATTAAAAAAAAAAGATAAGTTACTCCTCGCTAAAAATATGCATGCCACATTATTGACACAAAAGTTTGCAACCAAGAATGCGTGAAGTATAAGTCTGCAACCAAAATGTGCTTGAACAAGATATTTTTGTGTATTGAACGTTATCTTCGGACTTGCGAACTAAACCGTTTGTACAGCATTGACAGAAACATATTTTGTTATTGTTAAATGCAGTTCAAAACTTACAAAATCGAATAAATTAGGAGAAAAACCGGCCAGAACAGTCACATGTCAAATTTCAAAATATCTACATGATCAGTTTATATCTTCAATAACTTCGTCAAAACAGAATCTAGGATGCTGAAACCTTTAACCGAGTGTGGCATATATATTGCATTGTGGAATAGGCATACTAATGAACTTCAAAATAACAAAGAAACCCACTTGCCTGGCAAAAATCAGTTCACCCGTTTAAAAAAAATCACGCCGTTTTCGCCATTTTGTCAAGTTTGCAACCAATTCGCTCGCTTGAACCAAGTGTGCAACCACTTCACGTCCTGCCCCTTGTATATTAGAATTCCGCGGCAAACATGGTTATAAAATTAAGTTTGCTGCATTTTAAGCATACCATTTGCTACATGAATTCATTTTGCGTATGTTCTACTGGAATGACCTTAACAATAATAACATTTATGTTTTCTTCAGATTGATACATACGAATGGATGAGTATATCGGACAGCTGTGGCCCAGATCGATCTGTGTGTCGCGGTTTAGACTTTCTATATATGCCAGACCTTCCGGTACCTGGATCGTCAGCCGCAAATAAACCATTCCGAGCTGATCACGCATCGCAATTAATGGCACAGAATTTTCACGACTTTACAGTAAAACTTGTGGAACAGTTCCGTCTAAAAGCTGCAAACTACAAGTACAATGTGATGATGCTGCCTCATGGCGGCGACTTCCGGTATGCAACGCCATTCGAATGGGATAAACAATACAAAAATCTTAAAGTATTTATGAATTACGTAAATGAAAATAAGAAAATTTTCAATGTTAATATGCGGTTTGGTACACTTAAGGATTTCTTCGAAGAAATTGAGAAACAAGACCAAATGTACGACCTGTCATACCCGGTTGTTAGTGGAGATTTTTACACCTATACCGAAAGCACCGAATACTGGACTGGTTACTTTACCACAAGACAATTTGATAAAAGACTAGGGAGGGAAGTACTTGAAGGGTTACGTGCTGCAGAATTTTTCACAGCGCTAGCGCGGAGAGATCCTCATTTTAAATCTCTTGAAATGGAAAAGACAATTTTGTCTCTCCTTGAATCTGCAAGAAAGAATCTGGGTATCTTTCAACACCATGACGCGATAACGGGTACGTCACAAGCTCATGTCGTCATAGATTATGAACGTCTGTTAACTTCCGCTTATACTTCAGTGCAGAGGGTACTTTCTATGATCTCAATGTTCTTATTAAATCCGGATATTGATTGGAACACAGAAAAGCTTCTTCCAACCTTGAAGAGGACAGATTATAATGGACTTACCAAAAAGGTTTCTATTCCTATAACTACAACAGGAACAAAAATCGTTTTAGTAAATTCATTAACGCAAGGAAGACGAGAAATTGTATCTTTATTTGTCAAAGCAAAGGATATGTTTGTTTTAGATCCGAAAGGAAATGAAGTTAGGTTTGACATGATTCCATCGACAGGGGAAAGTAATGAGATAAAATTTGAAGTGGATTTTCCACCTGCTAGTGTTTTAGTTTACACTTTAAAACGGCGTGACAACATCAGTAATACCAAATTCGACGTGAAATATTCGATTCAAAGTAAAAAGTCGGAGATATTTGGAAAAGTGTACTTTTGTGAAAACAATATAATGAATGTAACGTTTAACAAAGCTACAGGTTCGCCTGAAATCGTTTGCTATAAAAACAAAAACTTTTGTGCTGAAGTTAAATTAGATTGGAAGTATTACCGCGGACAAGGCGGGGCTTACACAATGATGTCAAATGGTATGGAATCGACAGCGTTGGTTGGATCTTCAAAGGTGAAGTTTGTCAAAGGGGAAACATTTTGTGGTATAGAATCTCAGAATCAGTATTTTTCATTTAAAGTTAGTCTTCCTTTAATAGACAGCATATCAGGCAAATCATTGAGGGTAGATGTAATGAGCGACTTGTCACGTGCATCCGGTTTTGTAGGTGACTTAGCAATGAGAGTGGAGACTTCCATTCGTTCTGAAAATATTTTCTATGTAGATTCCAATGGATTTCAATTGATGGGTAGGAAATTTAGAAACTCTATACCCTTTGACGGAAATGTTTATCCGATGTCCTCTATGTCGATGCTAGAAGATGACTCAACCAGACTAATTGTTCATTCTGCGCAGCCGCACGGAGTAGTTAGTCGAGCTTCCGGTAAAATTGACTTTATGTTGGACAGAATTGCTATTAGACCGGAAATGGATCTTCCAGAGGGCGTGCGAGATAACAAACCGACAGAAACTGTTTTATATATAGAATTTGAATCGTCAACGGAATTTGAAAAGTTAAGTACGACCGAAACGGCACTTCCTTCCATTAACACTGTATATCTTAGTGATCTAATTCAGCATCCAATATATAGTTTTTACTCAATAGATGAACTAGTTATTCCAAATCAAAGCCAAAGCTTTTTAAACCATAAATTACCTTGTGATGTAATTATTGCAAACGTCAAAAATCTATTGGACAGTTCGTCGAATCCTGATGGGACGTCATTAACACTTTTTCGACGTGCTATTAGTTGCAAGGGAAACACAGCAGATAACTTTTGTGAATTACGTGATCCAGTGAATCTACATCCCGGATATATACTTAAAGCCAAATTTGATTTAGTAACTGAAATGTCTCTTTCACACTTGACGCCAAAAGAAGTTTTAAAGGAGACTGATTTGGTTTTATTACAACCAATGGATATCAAAACTTTCTATATGCGATAATGTTTATTTCTGAGATAATTTATTATAAATAATACTTGTATTTTCATAATGTATATTTACATAATGTTAATTGTTAATAAAGTTATTACATTCGACTTTCTTTCAATATATATTACACTAATAATAAGGTTGGGAAATTTTACATTGTATATGTATATATACTTACATGCAATCTGCAATTTGCATAACAGCTACAGCCGGTATATCTCAGCCGTTAAGTCCAATTTGGTCAGCGTTCAAAAATAAGAATAGGGATTTTTATATAAGTCAGTGATTGACTTTCCACTCTCAGATATATGGGTTGGTTCGAATTTCCAAGGACGTTAAATTCTGTTGGGAACATGTCCGACTAGTTACCGAGAAAACGTTGGTTCTGTAAAGGAGTCCGTACTTGCCGCAGTTTAATGTGGGGATGTGAGCTCGATGTTTGATTTTTTCCATGACAAGTTTCTATAAAACCATAACAATGTTGCTATAAGATAAAAACCCAACAAAAATGAGATAGTCAACACATGATGGACTGTTACAATTTAATGTTGGAGATACATCGTTACACGCCATTAATTTTGTTCTCCGGCTAGTTCAACATAATAACTCGTAAAAACAAACTATAGAAAAAATACATTTTAGAGTTATATATCATCAATCAGATAACAAAGTACATGTATATGAATTTTGATAAAGAAGCAGTACATTATCATACCCACCCCCAAAACAAAAACACACACACATGCGCGCACCTTTTTCGGAAAGACTCTGATTCCTGTACAGTGTACCTGGATATATATTTTTCAGTAATTGATACTCATGTAATGATGTTGAAGGTTATTTTTTGAAACGAGTTATTTTGTCAAGTCATTAATCGCGTTTAGATCCGCCGTTATGTACCGGTATATTTGGAATATTTTCCCTCATTACCGGAATGAACCATCTTGGCGCTTTCATCAGTTTCACAAAACTTGTGGACGAAACGTTAAACTTTTTCAGCTTTATCTTTTATACGCCCCTTTAACTGCATTCAAAACATAACCCTATTTGAACTTTGCAACCAGTATAATTATAGTCAGGACAACCTCAACAGTCTCGCAAGCCACAAATTGTAACATTGAATCTTGGTATCACCGAATTTGATAGTTCCACAATGTAAGCTGGAAACGGCCATTTTAGATATTCACAATTTTTTAGCATTTTCAAAAATCCTTGAAATCTCCGAACAGTCAGATATTTTTTTTAAAAAATCGTGAAATAGACTCCTTTCGGAACAACGGAGCTGATGTTTCTTATTCCGAATATCGATTACCCATTAGGAGCTTACATACTGGTTTTGAGGTTATTACATGAAGAGTGTGCATGTATTTCAATTCTATATAGAAATATAGGTAACCCGATAAGTCATGGTAGACGGCGTGCCCCGAAGGCGGCCTTTTAAGAGATTTCCTTTTTTTATTTAACATAATATTGACTGTAAGGCCAGCAATGCAAGTGCTATGTTGATAAATATACCGGTGTGCCAAACTTTAAAACCCGTTTGAGTTACAAAAACCGACTAAAGGTCATTGGATATTCAAATGTCTCGGGCTAGTTTTCCCAAACAATATGATATATCTGAATTAATTAAGATTGAAATGCCGTCAACTTACTGAACTACTATTGTTTACGTTTATTTTAACGCGTATTAATACATCCTTCATTTTCAAGTAAACTTCATAGTTAACGTACCATTTTGCCCATTAACATAATTTTAGACAATGAACGTCAATCTACATTCGTTAAGATAATGTCAACAGTGAATAAATTAGTGTTGTTTATTTGTATGTGAGGAACAACGTAGCAAACTTTATGTGTGATTGATTATTAAAGTGGTACATAGTTATATCTGACCCAAATAAACAATAACAACATATATGAAAAAATAACAATCGTCTAAGTAAATAGGAGAGTGTATTTATAGTTTTTTTTAATCTTTTAAAGCTCTTTTTTAAAATCTTTAAATACAGTTGGCATTAATTGTTATTTAACGTTGTATACGTCACAAGCTGTGAAATCATACGGTAGTTAAATTGTCCACTGTTAACATGCGAAATATTGTCTTTCACGTTTTCTGTAGCATGTTTCTGTTGAATCTCCCAAGATTCTATAAACTTGATTTCGAGATTTTATGCCCCCACCAAAGTGTGGAAGGGCATGTAGATTCTGCAGCGCCCGTCTGTCCATCCTTTCGACTTTGTGTCCAGTCTACAGCTGCGTGATTTATGGGTGGATTTTAAAATAACTTTGTGTAAAATGTATATCACGTTGGGACGATGTGTCGCGTGTAAGATCAAAGTTCATATCTCAAAGGTCAAGGACAAAATAACGTTTTCATAAAAATGCACTGATGTTTGTGTCTAAACAATCATTATGTAATTCCTTGATGAATTTAAAAAGTGTTAAGCATACACATGTTGAACATTATGACGGTGTGTCGCGCGCATGAATCATGTCCCTAGCTGAACAAAGACACTTGGGGTGTGGAGCTTAAAACGCCTTTAAAATCCAAATAAAATTTATATTTGTCAATCCCAGCACATGTACTGATCATAATATATATATAAAAAACTTAAAATAAGCCGTTTTGAAAAAAAAATCATATTTCAACGTCTATAATAATACACAAGATAAAACTGTTCGCCTGAAAAAAATCCGCACACCTACTGTCAACATCACCATGTATTTTTTCCATTTCCAATATTTTCACATAATCCTTTGGTCCATAGACACATAAGATATAATTCTTCACGATGATGGTCATTTTTAAACTTCAACGGTAATATAAACAACGCAACGGCCGAAATAAACATCAAGGTTACCGCCGTTTTACTCCATTTACAAAATCTTTCGATAAATTCTAACGTGGCCCCAGCTTTACCGTGTGCAGAATATGCTGCGCTTTGAAGATGGAAACCAGTCGGCTATGGGCGGAGCCATTCGTAATATGTTGGCTCCCATACTTCAAAACGGGGCGTATTTGTACACGGTTCATATACAAGTTTGCTGCTGTTCTTCATTCCTGGATGGATTTTAAAAGAGCTTACCATAAGTGTATTGCACATGCTCACAACGCGTTGCGCGATGGAATCAGGTCAAAGGTCAAGGTCACATTTGTAGTCCAAAGTCATGATATGATTTTTTAAGTGAGTTGTCAACAATTCTGCCATTCCTGAGTGAATTTTAAAGTAACTTCCCATGAATATGTTAAACATGGTGATGACGTGTAGCGCATAGGAGTTTAGTCACAAGTTTGAAAAAAGACGTCATTATATATAGTGCATAGTTTGTTATCCATGCCTGGACTATGAAATAAATATGCATAGATATGCTGCTTATTGATATGAGCAAAATTTAGTTCAGTATCCAAAAGGCCAGGTTCATACTTATACGTTAAAAGCCATAACATGACGTTGAAATGATAGTCGTACACAGTTCATAATTACCTTTGTCATTCAGTGACCAATTTTGTCATTATTTGTCTTAAATACATGGTATTTCTAAACAATTTGTGATGAATGAGAACAAGTTTGTAGCTTAAAGGTCAAGGTCAGCTTAAGACATAGTTTCGTAAAAGTACATTGATGGTAATAATCGTAATATCCAGTCATCAAATCTGTCAATCGTAAATGTACTTTCAAATAATTTGTTTTATTTTTATGGCATATGAGGAGAACACGCAATTATGTCGCTAGATCTACAACTAGAAAGGTGAAGGTAACACATGGATGTCAAATAGTACATGAGTGGATGTGTCGCGGTTGATATAAAGCTGTATTTTTCATTCTTTTTTTTTTTTCTTTTTTTTTTCTCTCTTCATGATAAAGTCGCAGTAACTTAAGCTCTCGAGGCGTGTAATATAAATTCATATATGTGTTAGCTATATAAACATAATTAACATGTAATATGATCATCACGACACATTTTACTCTCGAGGGTGTTCTCGCATTACATTACTGAAAAGTCAAAAGCAGTTAATCTTAATGACTTACTTATCAAATGTAAAAAATGTATTTTAAAGAAACAGAATAATATTCTATATTTTTATGTTATTTAAAACAAAATGGCAATAAAATCAGTCTCAGAAGATGTTAGAAAACCCGACAATGCAAAGATGCAAATTAGTTAATTGTTATGCACCAGTAGTATAATTTAATAATACAAAGGTTTTCGTTTGAGATACTAGATAACTGGATCTAAAGAACATGTCAAAACTGTGTACAAAGTCGTTACTCTTAACCTTCAATGCATGTTATGCTGATATTTGAGTTGTCCGACATGGTGTGTATATGTTAATGAAAAGTTATACTTGACGTTAGACTCAACTATTTTGTTCTTACACGTAGTCAAGGTCACGTGATATATCTAAAAAGCATACTTTTGATGTCTTCATTTTATATGAGTCCGCGTAAGTAGTAATGCCAGCTAAATAGAATTGGAGGTGGGGGGTTCAAAAAGGAGTCACAGATTTTGACAAAACAGAAGTTGAGAAAGAAAAAACACGTTAACAGCAAATGTAACTTTTATATAAATTTTAATTCTAAAGAAATTGTAAGAAAAAGATCTCTAGAATGGTTCACTTACATGAAGTACGCAATGATTGTGATGACAGTATTCGTATGTGTCTGGGGATGAGGGGGTATCTAGAGTCTTCCTACCTCTTCCTAAGAGTGAAAGTCTCAAGTTTTCTTTTTTTCAGCTTAGGTCTTGTCAATGCTTCAAGGAACGACCATCAAATGTTCTTAGATTATGTCATAGCCAGAAACACAATCTATCAATAGTGATAACATCATTTATTAGATCTTACAGACACGCTATTGACAAAGTCAAGAAAATAACTAAAATGTACAGAATTAATGACATTTATACATCACACATTGTCAAGTAAATTAATCAAGATATCAATTAGCACTATAAGTCACTACATATACCATAACTATACCATACAACACAAGCCGTATACAAATCTGTACCAAAGTATAGATACTCAGAACCATAATATAAGCATATGAATGTAGAAATATAAAGTTTAAATTGTTATTCCAAGATATAGACAAAACATTCACGA